ATGGTGTTTCCCCTGTCCCCTGTGTATGGTGTTTCCCCTGTCCCCTGTGTATGGTGTTTGTTTGTCTGCCTCTGGGCATCTCCTGTCAGCCAATCACAGTCACACCCCTTCTCTTCTCCTCCTTCTTTACAATACCCCCCCCCCCCACAGCCCAGCCGCCCCGGATACCCCAGCCCTCGCTGCAGTGAGGGGTTCTACCCCAGTCCCCAGCATGGGGGTCAGCACAACCATTACCAGGTATGGGGGCCCTCTGACCCCAAGCTTCGCTCTCAGCTCTACCCGTCTCTGTGTCATGGGGGGTAAGTTGGGATAAGCAGAAGCTGAAATATAGTGGCACTTGCTACCTGTATGATGATGCCCCCGTTTTAGCACCTCCCTGTCACCTCCAGGTCTCCGCTTATGCTGCCCCCCACGGGAAGTTCCCACAGGCCTCACTACTGGACCCACAGGAGACCCGGAACCACCTGCACCCGCAGGACATACCCATGTGGCCCTCCAGTGCAGAGGTGAGTGTCAGGTGGCGCCCTCTTCAGGGAGGGGCCGGTACTGGTGTCACACAGATGAGTGAGTGCCCCATGTCTCTGGTGCAGGATGGGGGGCTGTTGGAGCGGCGAGGAATGGGCCAGGGGCTGCCCCCCCACCCAATGGAAGAGCAGCTCTCGCTGCAGCAGCAGCAGATGGAGGAGGACCAGCGCTGGCTGGAGCAGGAGGAGCGTCTCCTGGTAATGCCGCAACCCCACATGCATGGAATCGCATGCCATGCATCCTGAGTACCGGCTTTTATTGGGGCTCTGCTCTAACCCTCCTTTTAATCTGCTAACCGGGAATTGTAGTGCCACCTGTTAGGAGATGATGTCATCAGCAGCCAATGGGAGGTTTGAATGTCACGCATCGGCCCCACCCAGCATCACACGATGTTTCGCATCAGCAGTGCATCCAAGTGAATGATTCTGCTTTATATTTTCCCGCCTGAGTAGCATCCCCTGCTTCCCTGGCCCTAGGTTGCCATGGCAGTACTCAGCTATTTACTGTACATTCATTGAGACGTGTAGTAATCTTATTAAGAGAAGGAACAAAAGCAAAGCAATCCCATTGCACTGAATTTCTGTTGGGCTACAAATTTAATCCTTGGAGTTTAATGCGGTTTAATGACTGTGGAGTAAATTGTGGAAAAGTGATTAGCAGTAGTTTTAGTGGGAATTATCCTTTAAAACTGTCAGTGGAAAGTCTGATATAGAAATACGTTGGCAGGAAATTTAACCTTTGGATAAATTTCTGGTATGAAAGTTCAGCTTGAAGATTAAGGGAAGACTGTTCTTCGCATCGCCATCAGATACTTCAATGGGAGGTAATGAGAGGGATTAAATGGTTAAGGTTAGAGAGGGTTACTTATGGTTAAGGTTAGGGCTGGGTAGGGGCTAAGGTCGTCATGTTGGGAGTAGAGTTTTGCCCATAGAAATGAATAGACGGTCCCCATTTAGATAGGAAGACCAACTTGTGTGTGTGTGTGTCTGTCTGTGTCTGTGTGTGTGAGCGGGTTTACCTATCCTTATGGGGACACAATGTCCCCATAACGTGATAAATATCCATTTTTCAGGTTTTCAGGAAACCGGTCCCCATAAGGGAAAACTATTTTATAAAAATCAGTGACTGCTATGAAAAAACTAAAAATGCAAAAACTCTTGTATTTTGTTAGGTTTTATTACTTATGGTTATGGTTAGGGCAGGGTGGGGGTTAAGGTTGTCATAGTTAGCGTTAGCATTTTTCCCATTGAAATGAATGAGCGGTCCCCATAAGGATATGTTTACCCTACATGTGTGTGTGTGTGTGTGTGTGTGTGTTGCAGTTAGGGATATGGAATTAGTTCAGGGTTTTACCAAAAATATTATCCAGAGGTGCTCTGAACATCATCTTGTGAAGCAGCTTTGCAGACAGATTATAGTCGATGTTCTGACTCATCACAGTTATTGGGGCGTGATTATGAAGATGCTTCATTAAGCTGCACATGGGTGATTCTCTGCAAATAACCTCAGATGCCGGGGGGTGATTATTGGTTGGTTGTTCATTGGCAGGAATTGAACACGTCCTCTGAACATTTTGCAGAAACAGATGTTTCAGAACGGCTGCAGACGGGGCCCAGCTTATCTGTCAAAAGCTGTTTCCTGAAGCGAAGGAAGAAATTATTTTCATTCCAGCACTGCTGCCAAACACAACGTAAAAAATGGCTTCCTTGAGTAAATCTCACCCGGCCTGTAGCTGTTTGGCAGCTCCCTCCCACATCGACCGGACTCCCAGCACACGTGTGTGTCACTTAGCGTCTGCGAGATCTTTCTCCAAAGGGGACGCGGCGTGAGGTCGCCCGTGTGGTTTGCGGTGGGCCCCTCCTGAGCGCTTCTTCGCTAAACCCATCTCAGGAGTAGCGGGGCACTCTGGCCCAGCAGGCAGGACCTCCGGAGCAGGTGTTTTCCTCATTTTACGTGGTTTTCCGCGGAATCCCCCGCAGGAACGGGTTGGACAGCAGTGTCTGTTTTTCTTTCCTCCGAGAGACGTACGGAATTCCGCTGTGTAAACCGCGGAGGGAGACGAAAAACCCGCAATAAACCTTTGACCCGTATTAATATTAATTAGCCAGATTCGTACACCCTGTATTTTGCTTTTAAAATGCATCAGTCAGGACTGTGGTTTTCCAAAGGTTAATATTAATGTCTGCTCAGTAATCCTGAGGTACGATATATAGAAACAAAAATATAAATAACCAGCAGCCCAAAGTTGTGACTGAAACGTTGGAACCTACAGATATTTTGACTTCTTTGCAAAAGCTGGAGATTTGGAATTTGATGGCACGTTGTGTGACTGTCTTTCTCATCAGAATAACTATGGCTCTCTACAAGTTTGTCTTTATCTCCGAAAGTTTTTTTGCGTAGTGTTAACTTGAAAAAGCGCAGCATTCACGCAGTATTTAACGCAGTCCTCTGCACCTTAATCCTTAGGGTGCCGTAACACTGCTCAGTGATACTCGGGGTAAAGCGCTTTATTTCCAGACAACGTGGCCCTCGATGTCGTCACTCAATGGGACGACATTTCATGTTCACTCAGCAAAGTGGTTTTTGAAGTGGTATGCGTGTTATAGAACGAGAGAAGCCCATTTATCAAACGCTGCGAAGGTCTCCAAAAGAGATTTCCCAGAACTGGCTTCTTTTGCGGACAAAAATGTATCTTAAAAATGAGTGAAAGGAAGCCATTGGGTCACTAATTGTGTGCAGATGTTGTAGGGGAGGATTGACCTAAATCGCTGGTGTTTTTAGTCGCACTGTGTCATTAACTAACGAACGTCTGATGGAGTGGCTCACCTACACCTCCAATCAAGCTTCTGAGATTTAAAAAATATATAGAAATAAACGCCAATTGTTTTACTGGCACCCGGGGGAAGGTGCCTGCGTTTCGCTTTGTAGATTTAGAGGTTTGGAATCGCAGCGCGTTGGGATACTAGTCAACGTTTAGTTGGAGTCAGCAAGAGGAATATGGCGGAAATAAAAGATCTTTTGAAAAGTGCCAGCAGTTTATAACCATGTTCCTGCCGTAGCTGGAGGAGAGAAGGGGGTGGGCAGAGATGTGGGGGGGGGCAGGAGGGCGGGGAGACGGAGCTAGCCGGCTGCGTGAGTCAGCCGAATGCATATAATGCCAGTGCCATGAGCAAAAGGGAATGTAGCGGCTAGTCGTGCCCCCCGCCCCCCCGCCTCTGGAATGCCCTGCAGCGCCTTCCTGCACTTCAGGCAACAGACATCTCACCCGAGGACGATCCAGAGGATGCAGCACGTTTTCAAAGCCTGCTTTGGAAAACTGGTATATGGTCGGGGGTGTGGGGGGGGGGGTGCATTTCTGCTTGCGTTTGATATGTTATATAATTTAGCTTAAAGCTTTTCCTCAGACAGCACCTCATAGGGTTTTGGGTCTGAGACGCCGAGGTCTGAAGCATGTGCTGCAGTCCTCGGTTCCGGATAGCCCGAGCGCGTTTGGGGGCGGAGGGGTTGCTGGTACCCCCCCCCCCCCAGCTTGGTGCCGGGCCCGTTCTCCATGTGCTCCCAGTTCTGGTTTCGCTGCTGGTTTTTCTCATGATAAACCTACCCCCCCCCCCGCGAATACGCTCACCGCTCCTCTTTTGACTCCCAGCCACTGATGCCCCCATGTTGTCTCCTCGCCAGAAGCCGGAGCCGAGGAATTCAAGGGCCAGCGCCGACCCAGAGGAGGGCAGCCTGCCGGGGCCGGTGAGTTCGCCTTGGCCCCTCACTCTCTCGCTCGCTCGCTCCCTCCCTCACTCTCTCGCTCACTCGCTCCCTCCCTCACTCGCTCGCTCGCTCCCATTCGCCTCCAGATGGGAATCCACTATCCTGGGGAATTCCCACTTTCATAGCCCACAGTCGTCTTGCTTTTCTGAAAATCTCCAGCTGCCAGGAGCCTGGAGAGCATTCTCTCGAACCCTGGCCCGCCGGCGGGTCTCATGCCATGTTTCGACCTGGACGGGCAGCAGACCTTTTAGTGTTCAGGTACCATCCGGCATGTTCAGGTACCATCCTCCTGTGGCTGTACACGTGATTCTTGTCGGTGTCCCTGAATAATCCACCAGATCATCTGAGGATCCAGGGATCCAGTCTTTTGTCCCATGTCTCTGGGTTCTGCTGCCCTGACGATGCCCCCTTTCTCAGAGTTATGTAATCAGCCCTTTGTCTGAGCTCCTCCTCAGGCTTTGCTTAGAGACGTCCATGTGGATAGATTAAAACCCTCAGCTGGAATTTGCTATAAATGTTCTTTTTCCCACCCAGCCGTGTGGGTTTACCCCACCCCCGGGGGCACACAGGGACGCTTCCAGCCTCCGCAGACAGAGTCTGGCCACAATAAGCAGCTTGTCACGATATCCAGGATTGTTCCCTGGGTAGTTAGCAGAACAGTTACCATAATTTCTGGAGCAGGATCTGATTCCCACTTTCCAAAACACTTCTCCGATTAACCCTGGCAAGCTGCTGGGTGTGAGGTATCTGTGCAGGCTTGAGGCACCAGAGGTCTGCTGCTAAGGACTTTGGTCGTTTTTGTTTTCTTCGGGGTGTGATGTTTCTCCGTACTGGAATATGGCTCCAAGCCGTGTGCTGATCAGGTCGCCCTTCTGTGACCGGGACCTGGATCTGAGCTCTTGCTGAAAGCCTGGATCCCCGTGGGGGTCAATCACTCACACATGGCATTCTGGGAAGGGGGGGGGGGGTAGCCAATCGCATGTAAGAGGGAGCATGAGCCAGGCTTCAGGGTTCAGGTTCAATCCCGGGGTAGGAGAGGATGAAAGGGTGTTATGGTTTCGTGAAACTACCGACAGGCAGAGTGGGAGTCATTGAAAGAGCGACCCTTACAGCCCATGGCCCTGATTGGTCAGTCTCCACCTGTCGTTAACCTCCTCTCTGCATTCTGTGTGGATCCTAGCTAATGAGAGAGATCGCCCCCCAGAGGCAGCAAGACGTCAGTGCCGCCCACCTACCATACAGGATTTTTAATGGTCTGTTTTTTTTTCTTCTTTGCAGGCAGGAAACCAGCACGTCTACCAGCCCATCGGCAAGCCAGGTAAATTCCCCAGCAGCACGGCTAATGGAGGTCTGTCTGTCTGAGCACCACACACGCAGTGTTACGGCACGGTGCCGAGGGGGTTTGGCCAGCGCTACGCCGGTGTAGCTTAGGTTGGGGATGGGAGGCTGCTATCGAGGGGAACGAGAGAACGGTAGCCTGGCCTGGGGTTGCAGTTCAGGTTAGGGTTCCACTCCCTGTCACCGCTCAGTGGCACCACCTGTTGGTGGGTTAGGGTGTTGCTCACCGTTGGCACCTACATCTCATCACACTGTTGGACGAAGCCGATTGATGGGGGGTGGGATGGGGGAGGGAACCCTAGTAAACATGTTGTGCGGTTCCCTCCAGATCACACTGCCCCCCCCAGGAAGCCCCCCCGACCTGGAGCCCCCCACGCCGGCGTGAATTCTGCGGACAGCTACAACGAAGGAGTGAAGGTATGGCGATGTGGGGGGGGGGAAGGCTGTGGCCATTGGGGGGCGGGGGGTGTAATCGCAGGCTGGGGTCTGGCTGTGCGTGGGACACATTGTATGTGATTGGTGGCCTTCTGGCTAGTGACACATAGGACAGATAGAGTGACGCTGGGACAGATAGAGGGGCAGACAGAGGAATAGGTGCTGGGACAGTGTGACAGATGCAGGGACAGATGCAGGGATGACAGATGCTTTAAAACAATCCGTTACAAAATGCAGACTAATCAGGTTTGTTGTCACGAATCATCAAATTATGGGACAGTATTTTATTAATGTATATTTATTTTAATATTAAAATTGCACATTAACACACTAAAAATAGTGTGAAATCATTTAAAAACATTGTTTACATTCTGCATTGAATTAAATGAATAATTCAGTCACGCCTAATTAAAAGGTCAGCTGATCTGAGGCCCAGTGACACCAGTGACCCCTGTGGACTGGGTTTCCTGTTGTTCTGCCACCTCCTTGGCTTCCTGACCCTCGCAGGAAGCTGAGATTTGAGTGTGTTCACTTTTCAGTTGTTAGTGGACAACATGTCAGGGTGCCAAGGATCTGCAGATTTACACTTGTTGCAATCATTCTAAATAACCAAGTAATGATAACATTCTGAATAAAGGTAGTAATGAAATACTTAATGGTCATTTACTGTTAATTCCAGGATGCTTGACGTGCTGTAGGCTGGCGTGTACATTTAGATGTTTAAGGTCACCTGTCATCTGATGATAACGGTGACCAAGATGATGTTTACCATAGTCATCACCCTTCTCCCGAAAACTGAGGCGGAGGTCTCTCATCAGGGGTGTCCACCCCACACCTGTGATCTTGGCAACAGGCCCAGCTGGCCCCCCACTGGAATGGGGGTGGGGGTGAGGGCAGCGGTTCCCCGGTGTTTATAGTGGAAAGGCCACAGTATTCAGGCCATCAGAGGAGATGACAGGGACAAGGACAATGAAGCAGCAGGCTGCTGGACAGATGTCACTGTTCACTGAGATGCGGGGCATTCAGCAGGCAGCAACTCGTGAATTAGCTAAAGAAAGTACTGGCTTTGCTACAGGGCAGACATGGGGAGCCTCTTAAAGCAGGAATTTCCGTCTTTTCCGGACTGAAAATTAAAGAGGCAGGAAGTGGATGTTCCACACAGACTGAGCATGTGCAGACATTAGCTTTGCTGCCATAGCGCGTGTAATGCCTCTTACATTAATTCTTTCTTTCTTTCTTCCTTTCCCCTGGGCCGTCTGCCCCCCCCAATCTTCCCTGTGCCTCACTGTTGTTGAACGTAGCCCTGGAGGGTAAGACCTTCGTGTGTGTCTGTGTGTCCGTTTGTCTGTGTCAGTCTGTGTCTCGTTGTGTATGTGTCTGTCAGTCTGTGTCTCGTTGCTTATGTGCCTGTCTGTATGTGTCTCGTTGTGTATGTGCTTGTCAGTCTGTGTCTCATTGTGTATGTGCCTGTCAGTCTGTGTCTCATTGTGTATGTGCCTGTCAGTCTGTGTCTCATTGTGTATGTGCCTGTCAGTCTGTGTCTCATTGCGTATGTGCCTGTCAGTCTGTGTCTCATTGCGTATGTGCCTGTCAGTCTGTGTCTCGTTGCGTATGTGCCTGTCAGTCTGTGTCTCGTTGCGTATGTGTCTGTCTCTCTATGTGTCTGTGCACATGTGCCTGTCTGTATGTGTGTCCGTGTCTGTATCCATGCGTTTGCGCGGGTTGGTATTTACCACATGTTGTAAACCACAGGTTAGGGCAGGGTAGGGGGTTAAGGTTGTCATAGTTAGCGTTAGCATTTTTCCCATAGACATGAATAAGCGGTCCCCATAAGGATATGTTTACCCGACAAGTGTGTGCGTGTGTGTGCGTGTGTGTGTGTATGTGTGTGTTTCCATCTGTCACATTCCCCCTCTCTTCGTGGGATTACATGTCAGCAGGTGTTTGGGGTGGGGGAATCTCTGCCCCCTCCCCGAACCACTTGGCCATCCGGTTGTGGTTTAAGTCATTGTGGTCATGGAATGCCGATGCGTCCATGTTTTTAACCCCAAGAAGCACTTAAGCCCAGCTGTTTGATGCAGGAGGACTGATGCAGCTCAAGTGTGGAAAGTAGAGTGTTAAACGTAAAGGTGTGTGACGTAGTGTAACGCAGTACTACAGTGAGCTGTACCTAACCAGTCAAATATATCGAGGGTGAGGTTAGTGCTATTAATACACATTTCAGTTCTGCAAAGGAGAGGGCTTAAAGCATATATGAAACCATTCTGCCTTTAAAAGGTATTTATTTACTGTCGGTATTCTGATTGGATGGATATTCTTTCATATCAAGTCCTTCTGGTTTCTGATTGGCCGGGTATTGCCATGTGACAGGTTCCCATCTGTTTCTGCACATAACGGTGCATGTTCATGGGCTACACATGGTCTGATTGTTTTATGGCACCTTGCTGTATACTAACATGCAGCTTTAACACACCTTGCTTCACAGCAATAACTTCATCATTATAGCATTTAATTTAACTTTTTTTAAACCTAATAATAATAGTAATAATCTGCCATTTGTGACCATAATTGGCATTTTTCGCTATGACGTATATTCATTTTTATTTCTTAAAACCAAGACAAATATTAAAACCGGCAGAAGGTGAGGATGGTGGAGCACAGTTGTCTACAAATCATTTTTCTCAGTGTTCGTCAATTATTATTCGCTCACATCAACACTTCTATAAAGGTATTTCAGAAGGTTTTTTTTTAATAAATTCAATTGGAAAAATATGAGTAATGCCACCTCACATATAGGTAGCATAAACATCAGACTCGGAATGTTCAGGCTCAGGTAGTACAAATCCGGACCAAGGTTTTGTTTCAACTCACCAGTTGCGTATGAACAGTCACAGTCACAGAGTGCTCAGCTGGTTGGTTGAATCAAAATCTTGGACTGGATTTGTACTTTTTGGACTTGAACTTTCCACCTCTGGTATACATACAGTTCCTGAGGAGACAGTGTGGGAGCCCAGTGTGAGGCTGGGGAGGCTAATTCCTCTGCTTGTTTTCTCTGTGTTGTCTGTGATCTGGCTGTGGTTTTGTTTAATGATCTGTTTAGGTTTCTATATATTCACTGCCTGACCATGAACATACTTTTTATGTATCTGTGTTCAATTGGAAGTATGAAGAAACGTAAACATTTAGAAAAAGAGTTTGAGTCATTATCCCCATTCTGGTGAAAACAAGACAATTGGGTGCTGTAGAATACATGTTTACGAAGACTTTGCATAACTTCCTGTGTGCAACATTTTTAATGGTGGCAGTAAATCTTTCAGGCATTGGAATGTCCCAAAAGTTTGCTTGTATAATTTAAGTTTGACATGTATCGTGTCTGTCCTTTTTGTGGTATGCAAGAAATACAGTCTTTAATCAATCTTAGTTGACTATAATTAGTCCTGGTTGAGGAAGTAATGATGGTCCCCTCAAACAAAGTCTCCCTCCTGTGATTTGTCTAGATTCAGCCCCAGGAGATCAACCCCCCTCCCACAGCCAATTTGGATCGCTCCAACGACAAAGTGTATGAGAATGTGATGGGACTGGTCAAAGCAGTCATCGAGATGTCCAGCAAAATACAGCCGGCGCCCCCAGAGGAGTACGTGCCCATGGTGAAGGTGAGGGGGGCTCAGTCTGAGCGCTGAGGGACTGTCATGCCCTTCTCCATCCACCGGGGGGAGATGTGCATCTTACAGTGTCACACTTTCAGGATGTGGGCCTGGCACTGAGGATGCTGTTGGCTGCTGTCGATGAAACGATACCCAGTCTACCTTCGGGGTCACACAGAGAGGTAAAGCAGACACCTTTGCGTAAATCCTCTGTACTGCTGAAGATACAGGATAAAAGGCTATAATGAGGTCACTTTAAGCTCGTGGGAGTTTTACTTACACAAAAATGTTCTGAGGGCAAAAGGAAAAATGACTGGTTCAGTGCGATAACCAATCAGATTGCAGAGGAACTGGGTCCAAGCAATTAGAGGAGGTTGGACAAACACATCTGATTGGTTGGTCACGCCTCGTCTAGTTGCTTGGACTCACATCCTCTGCAATTTGATTGGTTATCTCTCTGAACCTTTTTTTCTGCATCATTTTTCCTTCTGCCTTCAGACTATTTTTGTGTAAGTAAAACTCCCATGAGCAAAGTGATTCCAATGGTTTCATTTGGACTTAATTAAAACAATGTCTACAATACAGCATGATGAAGTAATTTCATTTAAGTAGTTTAACATGCTATAATGTTTGAAGTTTAACAGTAGCTTAACAGATAAGGATCGTGTTTACTGCATAATAAATGCATCTACAGTATTTCACTGTCTACAGTACACAATGTACCAAGAAGTAAAATTCCCACGAGCTCATTTTACCCCCCGCAGGTGGAGATGGCCCAGAAGCTGCTGAACTCAGACCTGGCCGACCTCATCAGCAAGATGAAACTGGCACAGCAGTACGTCATGACCAGCCTGCAGCAGGACTACAAGAAGCAGATGCTGACGGCCGCCCACGCGCTCGCCGTGGACGCCAAGAACCTGCTGGACGTCATCGACCAAGTGCGCCTGAAGATGGCGCCACAGCCACGGCCGCAGTAGCCCCAGCGTGAGAGGCGGAGTGAGACGGAGACAACCAATCAGGCTGAACTGGAATGGAACATTTATCATGCACCAGCTTGGCAGGAAGGGCAGCCCCTACAGCCAGGGCTCAGCCAATGGGAATGCAGATCTTCTGCTAAGACTCCCACCCAGTACCTTTAGACACGCCCTCCCAGGGTCTGTGAGAGACACGCCCAGAGTTTTCAGTGGCGATTCAATGTACTTTTCTTTTGTTTTTTGTATCTGGAGATTTTATTCAGATAAAAGTAAGGGGCTCAGCTACAGATCAGCAGACACAGCGAAGACGATCCTCCAGTAGAAAACACCTCCGGGCTGCGCTGTACATAGTCCTGGGAAACCCAAAAGTTCACAATTCTTCATGCTAAACTATGGTTCCTTTTGTGTTGGTCACATTTAATGTGCTACTCTTGGCGTTGTGTGGAGGGTTCGAAATAGATATATTTTGTTTTAATTTGTTTCCACCTCTATCATATAGGGGGACATTGATGGAATTCAATATGAATAAATTAACTAAATGTAGAAATGGTCAATTGTCCTTTTTAAGGTGGTGATACCAGTCTTTGTAACAAAGTAGCATCACTAAAGACAGTAGCTAATCGTCCGCATAGATTCACGAAGGTCTCAGATCCTGACAGGATTCACATGGTGGTATGACACATGGATTTAATGAAACTTCAGCATCAGAGGTTCTCAGAAGCCGGTCCCTTCCAGGCTTTCAGATGTTCCACACGTCAGGCCAGTAGAAACAAACAGCAGCATCTCTCTCTTGGCCTTTTAAAGGTGACGCCTGCTATTGACGTGGCATTTCTGCAGGGCAGGCTCGCTCCTCACGCGTCTGCTCTCCTTCCACGCCCCTTTCCCTGCTTTTCCGTCTCGTTTCCGGCTGATTCTCACTCCCTCCTGCACTGAAACCTCACCCAAACATCTATGTACAGTATATACGGTGTTCCTGGTCCTATCATGTAGAAAAGCAGCCTGACGAGAAGCACGAGAGGCATTTAAAGGCTTCGTTTTATTTTGCACACCAGGGACACCCGTGAAAGGGGCCTCCCCTGCCAGCTGCTGAAGCTGGTCCCTGGTGCCACGTTAGTCTCGGTGGAGTTTGGGTTCAGGTCTTTCATAGAGCAGCCCTCTAAAAGCGCCACGTCTGGTCTTGTCAGCTGGGTAAATCCTGCAGGGAAGAAGGACAGTTTATCTGCATTATGAATAACAGCCTTTATTGTTAAGCTCCGCTTCCACTGTACTGGAAGCGAGATTTGGCCTGTAGTCCTGTAACGAAATAACGTTCACTGATGAAGACTCACCATCTTTGGTAGAGGTAGATCAGGAGCACTGCACTGTCTCTGAAGCAGGCGACCCGGTGGGCGGTCGGCATGGTGATGATGATGGCAAACGCGCCCTTAATGGAGCTTCTGAACACCTGGAAAAGGAGCATGAAGAATGATGAGTCCACCAACTTGTGAGGTCAAAAGTCTAAGAGCCCAAACCCTAAAACAATCCAGCAATTTGTCTATTATGGCAACCTAAAATAACTGTCAATCTGCTGTTAAATAAAATAAATCAAATCCAGAACATGACGGCGGAATAAAAGGGAGGTGAATGGTGAATACTCACGTTACGCATAAGTGCCTTCTGGGATACGTGAGCCACTGATTTCAGCTGCAGAAATGAGAGTGTTAACAGGATGCCACAGCACCTATAACGGCAATCCCTGGGGGAAATCCGCCGCTACGAACCTCGTAATTAACGACGAGTTGAGGAAGCATGGAGAGAAAGCCAGACGTATAAACTCCTGTCAAAAACAGATACAACTTCATCGTGTGTCTGGACTGTAATGTAAGCAAGAAGCCCAGACCCCCCCACGCTCTGCATCTTCCCAAATCTCCCATTACGTATCAAAGGATGAAAGACTGGCTTACCGTTGGCTAGGCTGCTTATCAGCCATGAGTACAGACTGTTGAACGGGAGAAGCGGGAAAATTGTTACTTTGGATTTGAGGAGAATAAATTAAGACGATATCCGACGCACAATATCATATACAGAATTTATACAGATTACTAACTTTTGGGCATCACAATACGCCTCTCCTTAGTATTTTTGGCCTACTGCTAATCTGCTTACCCAACTGTGGGCATAAGTAAACGTCCGTAGAGCAATGAAACGCCGGCATCCGGGCAAAAGTTTACGCCCCTCATCTGAAGCCTGGTGATTATTGCGCCATGCGATGACCATGTGATATCATGCAGCCCTACAATAAGCTATCATGCGAGTAGCAGAGCGCTGCCTTACCTTCTGACTCTCATGCACAGCAGAGGGTAAAGAGACGCCCCAAAGCACAGCAGGTACAGCACATACGACAGCCCCTTCATTGCCTGGGGAGGGACGCAGAAACACTCAGTTTTCCAGCACCTTCACATCCTGAGCAGCTGCAGACAGTATGAAACGAATCTCATTCTCATCAGTGTTTCTCACCTGAGGATCTTGTTCGTTGTTCCTCGTGTCCGACGCATCCTGTTTTCTGTGCTGTGGTGGGGGGCGAGGGGTGGGGGGGCTTTTTGCTCAAGCTTTCTTAATGGATGTTCTTACTCCTCTCCTTAACACTGTATTTCCAAAACTAATACTTGAATAATTTGCCTGAACGCATTTGCCCATTCATCAGCTTAAAAGGATTTCTGCATATTCAGTGTCTGCTCCAAGCGGTGCCACTAGATTTCGGGCCCTCAACCCAGATCAATTGGATTATATTCCATATTTTTCTAGGGCCGCAGTCACTCAGGGGCCCTTGGAATCGTCCTAACTTTCCCCTGCTTTACGGCGCCCCTGTCGGCGCCTCTTCCGGAAACCCAGGGCATGAGGCAGGAGGCAGGAGGCACTTCCTCAAAAGGGCCCATCTGCCCACAAACGCATTTAAACAGAGTCACCAATGACACATCTACCACACGGGGTGACACATAGTGAGCCAGATGTGACCCCCCCCCCCCCCCAGGTCTGGACTAATCACAATGGTAACTGTGCCACCCCCACCTGCATTACCCACTCACTTAACATACGATAACATGATTCACTGCTTGACCAGTTAATCATTTTTCAAAATAAACCCATAAAAGGCTGTAGGGGCCTGACTGCTATCAGGAAGCGGAAGAGCATGCGCAGGGTGATTAAGCGTTTACTCACTCGAGGCGCAGGTCGCGTTCTCCTTGACAAGAACCGGACGCCCAAGGCCTTCCAGATCTTCCAGACACAAAAGCAGCCACGAGAATAAACAGGACAAGGCAAAGGCTGTGTGCATTTTAATGAATCATTACTCTCTTTTGAGTTTCCTGAATTTCCACTGAAATGTGGGGGTGCATCTAAAGAGGAGAAGTGAAGGTCGCCTCCAAGTTTTTTCTACTCAGTGCACAAAATAAAAACACCATACTTTCTTAAATAACACCGTAATTATGGCTATGATTCATGTATATTCATGCAGTTCTGGGAACTGCTAAAATTACAGCTGTATCTCAAATGTACATTTGGGTAACCATGCGGTCTATGATTGACATCACTGAGAGCCAATGAAAATGGGGGCACCCAGGGGGCACCAATCCCATTTGGGGGTGGTACCAATCCAGCCCCACCATTGTCTCCGGCAATGCTTAAACCATGACTCAGGACCTGGTGTATCACATTGTGTTTCTCTGTATACAGGGTACAAGAACAGAGGGACTGGCCAGATACTTCAATGGCGAAGCTGGCCGCAGCGGGGAGGAGCACGAGTGGGCTGGTCTGTCCATCATCAAGCATGGAGAGCAGGACCACGAGCCCGCAGCAGCACTCACGCAGAGCTGGAAGGGACAGGAGAGGCAGCATTCCACCTGCTGGCCAGTCTGAGAATTGCAGCCTCAACAGATTGGGAGCCTCAGCTACCTGCTGGGTTGGACACCCCTGCCCTGTTCCTCTCCTTCTTCCACAAGCCAATGTCGTTTTTTAAAGCCAAGATGTCAGAGAGGAACTGAAACACACAAATCATCCAGCTCTCTAAGTCCTGGCTGCTGATCCGCTCGGCGTCTGTGAGAGTGTGATGGAATTATACGATGAAATGCATAAAAGAGGACAGACTCACGTGGACAGAAGCCACGAGGCCAGCCAATGCCAGATAGGACAGGTTTGGGTCCACAAAGATGCTTTTAATCTCGTCCAAGTCTCTCTCCGAGAAACCTAAAAGCGAGGGGGTGAGAAAGACAGAAACTGCAGCCATTTTACTGAGCATCTTTCATCACAGATGCTGGTTTGAACACATTCTTCATTAAAAAAAACACCTTTGGCCTCTGCTAAATTAGCGATGACCGTATTTCCCCAGAATCAGGCCTTGGCCTCAAACGTCGTCCGACCGCGGGGCGACCGGCAGCCGCCTGACCGGGGTGAGTCCCTCACCCAGCTTCCGCAGACTGTTAACGGCGTCCTGAATACGGATCCAGAGGCGAAGTCTCCACAGGGAAATGTCCTCATAGGAGATGCTGAGGGGGACTTCCGGGGTGATGCTCTTTATTTCCTGGAACAGAAGGGCCTGCTTTTTCTCCAGACGCACTTTCTTGTCACATTGCCAGTTAGCAAATCTCTCAGTGACGTATTCTGCGATTATATTTGCTTTCTCACACTCAGGTCTTTTACGTACCATCATGTCCTGCACCCTGTTGGCCAGTTCATTTACGAATAGCAGAGGGAGGTAGAGCATCTTTTTGCCGTTCTGGTGCCTGACGGAGTACAAGACACGACTCATCAGTACGCACTCCTCTCTGTGTGAGCTGTGCTTCTCTAAAGCCTCCTGGTCCCTGCTGCCGACGGCACAGAAAGCCACCATCCCCGTCCGCGAGCGTCCCCAGGGAGACTTACGTCTTTAAGTAGCGCCGCAAGTCGGTGGGAGGAGCCGCTGTGTCCAAGGGGATGTCCTCTGACATGACGCGCAATACAAGTCGCGGCCGCCAGAGGGAGACAGACTGGGCTGCGTCAGACTCGCCAGCCTGTGACAGAAACATCACGTTGCTGCATCTCACTGACAGTTTCGTGATCATTGACATTTTATCTTAATCACAGCGTTAATAACCGACCAGGACACAGGGAGCCTTCTGCCTCTAGAGAGTAGGCCGTCTTACCTGCAGCGTTTCCTGGCTAGCAGGTTTAACCAGCATGTGGTTTGTGAGCTGGACAACATGGTGTACTTCCATGGGGTCCTGCGAGATGGGCACTCCAGCCCGGTGCAGGAACACCAGGGCGTACAGCGTGCCGTCCATAAAGCCTTTCCCCGGCAGCGAAACGTTCACTTGCCTTCCACCAATTGACATGTTTGATGAAAAACAAATTAATCACAGCAGATTATATTTTAACTATATTAAATGGGGAACTAGCGCCCACCTTTCAAACTTGGAGCGTATGTCAAAGTCATCGACCTTCAGAAGGAGCTTTTGTTCACCGCCCGCATCGGGGTGCAGAGACGTGTAAATACTGAGCTATTTTAATAACGGAAAAAAGACGGAATTAACAGCATTTCAGCAATGAATCCAATTCCATCAAAACGTAACTTATTAGATTTCGTGCATTTTTTCCCGCACAGACCTGGAGCCGAGGCTTCTCTGCCAAGTAGGACGGGATGCAGAGGTTGCTTTTGGAGATCTCGCATGGTTTGGTGTAAATAAAGCTGTACATGAACCAGGATGCATGCACAACATAGACGGCAAAAAGCCCAGCGAGCAGGGAGCGGAGAGACGTCCCGCCCGGGGATGCAAAGCGGCAGGCAGGCAACATGACCAGGTTTCCCCCGAAAAAAACCCTGCCTGCTCGAAAAAGCTCTATGTTTCCGCAGGTGACGAACAGCAGCAGTCACGTCGAGCCAGCAAGCAGTTTGCACCCGACAGCAGCATCCGCATGTGCTGTCAAAGCATCGGACCGACAGATGCTGCGGGGGAGCCTCAGTCCTAACAGCATAACATTCTAACCTTGACCATCAGCCAGGTTTTTATTTAGCTCCTAACTGAAACTGCGAAGCTTACGTATTGGAGCGCTGTCATGCTGACTCCTCCTCTCCTCCGTTATGCGGACGCTGTGCTTTTATTATGGGTGACTTGCACATCTGAGTGCTGCTTTTCTGATCCTCTACACCAGGGCTCTACTCAGCTGGCGGAATCCGGTCTGTCGCATGTGTGTTCTGTTATGTGCCTTTACTGTATGTCATGGCAGAATAAGGTTGGTCAGAGGCTGAGTGAGGTAGGGGATCGACTTTGGTGCGAGATGCATTATTAACCAGCAGGGGGCGACGTGTGCCCTAGTGAGGCGCCAGGTGGGAGGAAGCGCCCCGAGGGAGGCGGGGAGACTCGGTGCCTAATCCTGTCGTGGGAACCCCGCGTCCCTGTGGGGTCAGGTTGAACACTCCACCGTCACTGGAGACATATATATATATATATATATATATATAACGCCGGGACGCGTGTTTCCTCTCTTGTTGCTTTCTAATGTTTCTACTGGGGTTTTTAGTATTGTATTACAATCTCTGTAATGTGAACCGGTGAAGTTGCCATTGTTAGTTCTTTGTTAAAGGATATGACGCACAGGTTACACGAAAATCAATGAAACAACGAAAATCGTTCAATTAAAAGACCTTTTTTCTACCATTGTATATGGATTTCTACTGCTCACATAGAATATTAAGTAGTGAAAACAGTAAACACACGGGGGCGCCATTGTCACGGTAACCGATTAAGTTCCATTTTAATCATCTGATCAAAACCGTTTCTGTTGACCATCGTCAGATAACGAGTTCGGGGCCCTGGTTGGGTACTCCAGAAAGTGTTTGGAGCACATTGAACAGCATTGTGCCTAAACAATCTGTGGACATCAAGTTATATGAACATAATAATGTACAGGGACTAATTTTGTTATTTAAATAACAAGTTCAAGAAGTAGAAGAATATATGCAGATACGGAAAGTAAGTTGTTCCATAATATAGAGTGTTCTAATGAATTACGATTTTTAAGTGCAGTGCGGTCTTAAAATAAATTATTGCCCCAGTTCTAAATGCCAACAAATCTCATAGAGCTCTTAGTCAGATCTCTGGGTCTGGCCTCTGGCATTAAGGTAGATTGTACAGTAGTGCTAGAATTGCTGCTGCTAACATATCTAAGTGACACTTCGGTCAAACTGAGAGATGGACTTATAAGCAGCTCAGACGAACACATCTGCTTTGGGAACAAGAGTGTATGAAATCCTCCCCAAACGAGCATTACGCCACACAAGCTCTGCACCGGGTCTTCAGCCCAGGACTTGTGTTTCCAATTAGAAATGGAAAAATAGGCCATTTCAAAAATAGGCCCTAACTCATCCTAAATAATTATGTGGCGTCATGTGTGCCTGAGGCCATGCTGTGGAATCACCCACAGGAATGGAAGCGTGGGGTGATTCGGAGAGGAGAAGTCCTCAGTGATCAGCGGCAGTGTGTAGCCGGTGGGCTGATGGAGGGGATGGGGACAGGAAGGAGAGATGG